ATATATATATATATATATATCATTATTGGTCATAAAAAAAAAGAAATTATTTTAATTTTGAAAGGGTGAGAGTAGCTCTCAGCCATTTTTTAAAAAGTGCATATATTTGTTTTTTATTTTTTTTAATTTACTTTTTGAATGATGAGTGTATCATTCAAAAATAAATTTGATAAAATAATATTTTCTTAAATCTAAAATATAGGAATAAATTTCAAGATAATTATAAGCTAAATAAGGCTTCATCTGGAATAGCTTTCTAAATGCTTTCTAAAGCAAATTTAAAAAACAAATTGTACTTAAAAATTGTTTGTCTACAATTTCTATTTTAAAAATTATTTTAGAAAGCATTAAGAAAGTTATCTCAAATTAAATCTAATGATTTAGATACGCTATGTTTGTATCTTAAAGATTAAGAATTTATGAAAATAATAGCCTCCATAGAATAAATAAAATATAATTTTTAATGATGTGTTATGATAAAATTATTCAAATTTGAGTGTCCAAAGAGTTCATAATGAATTAACAAAAACAATCTTTTGCTTTTAAATCTAATGCTTAAAATTTTGTGCATCTCTTAGAACTGATCATTTATGTTATAAATGGGTGATTTTGTTATTTTGAATTAAAGATAATGAATTAATGTTTGTATTTTTTTATTTTTATTTCATTGAACCTAGCTCATTTAATGAATTAATATTTGTAGAAATTGGATAATTATCATGAACTATCGTGATTATTATTGAATGATTAAGATAATAAATTTATTAAATCACATTTTAATTTTTAAATAGCAATATATATAGTAAATATATAGAAAATTTTTTCGTAAAGAAATTATATCAAATTATTTATAAAAGTATGATCTACATATTTGATATTGAAAGTTGTATGTCAAAATAGGAATAATAATTTAAAATCTATAAAATAATTTAAAATTCAAGAGAAAACCCTCACCCAAATATATTTTTCCCCTCTAATTAATTTGCTTAGTTTCGTTTCGAGGAGGCAACGGCTCATCTATTTAAATACCTCGAGTACTCCTTTCATCTTCATCCTTCCCTTCAGAAGTGAAAACAGAACGGCCATTTCCTTCATCTTTTTCTTCTTCTGAATCTGAATATCGCTCTCTTAATTTCTTCTTCATCGATTCTCTAAAGTCTCGAGTCTGCATTCTCAAAGGTTCTCCAATATCAGAATCCCTTCTTATTTTTACTCCATATGAGCTCATGAATCAAAGTTTACTTTAGATGTGAACTCTGTTTTTCCAAATCGTAGCTTCAGATATTTTGTTTTGTATTTCCTGTTGAAGAAAAGAGAGCATTCAGATTAAAAAAAAAGTTATTTTTATGCTTTTTTTTTCGGTGTTTTTGAATTTCTGATTTTTTTTGGTTGTTAATGTGAAGTTTATACTTGATTGCAATGGACTACGAAGGCGGATACTGCCCGGCTAAGATGCAAAAGTACGACTGTCTTCTATTTGGTAATTTATCTGCCTGAAATCTTATTCTTCAGAGCTTTGATAACATGGCAGTACTGAGTGCTTACTGAACCTTTGACTTCTCTTGAAAAAAAAAAAAAAATTAGATCTGGATGATACGCTGTATCCATTGAATTCTGGACTTGCAACTCAATGCCGGAAGAATATTGGCGGTATGATTTATAATAATAATTATGATTAATGGAATTCAGATGTTGGTGATCATGTAAGTGACTCAAATACTTAATGGCTATTATTTAATTTTAATTTGTCTTAGTTGCAGATTACATGGTGGAAAAGCTTGGCATAGAAGAAAGCAGAATCTCTGACATGTGCAATCTTCTCTATAAGAACTACGGCACCACCATGGCTGGTCTTAGGGTGAGCTAAGTTTTGCTCTCTTCCTCTACTACTATTTACTGAAAAAATACACATAAATAATTTTTTTTTTAAATGTATTGTAATTGGATTTACAGGCCATTGGCTATAGATTTGACTATGATGAGTACCATAGGTTTGTGATCTTTCACGTCACAGTTTAAATATTTAATTTCGGAAGAGCTTTTAGAATATTCACTAAGATTGTATTTTGGTGCTATAAACAGCTTTGTTCATGGAAGATTGCCTTATGGTAATCTGAAGCCTGATTTTGTTCTCAGAAACATTTTGTTGAGCATTCCAATTCGTAAAGTTGTAAGTTTTCATCTTCTTTTTTTTTTTTTTTTAAGTTTTCATCTTGATATAAGCAAACTACTATAATTTTTATGTTTGGATTTGATTCTTTTTTTCCTGTTACTTATGTTAGGATGTAGAAACAGAAATCATAAAATCGTTTTCAATATCAGGAAATAACAGGAAAATAAAATGAATTCAGCAGTAGAGAAATCTGCTGTTGCTCATTTGAAAGCTAATGAAGCTATTTGATTCCTAAATGAAACAGATTTTCACAAATGCTGATAAAATTCATGCGACGAAGGTGCTAAGAAAGCTGTGCCTGGAAGACTGCTTTGAGGGAATCATATGCTTTGAAACTTTAAACTCGCCTGAAGAAAATTCAGCTTCTAATTACAAACCAGAAGACACCAAATCCTATATTTTCGACATCATTGATCACTCATCTAGAGCACAACCAAATACTGAATTGCCCGCGGCTCCAATTCTATGCAAACCATCCGAATCCGCCATGATTCGAGCACTCGAAATCGCAAAAATTGATCTAAATAGAACTGTAAGCTCATGTAGCTTACATTCATTTTCACAATTTAACATGAAATGAAGCTTATTGATTATGTTATGTTGATGTGTTGATCTGCTGCTACTTCAGATTTTCTTTGAGGATAGCATCCGCAACATCCAAGCAGGAAAAAGAATTGGCCTCGACACAGTGCTGGTATGAGATCTTTGAAACATGAGATGTGTTTGTAGTTTATGACATTTATGTTGATACTTAATGTAATTCTTTTGAGAAAGCTTCAGGTGGGCAATTCACAGAGAGTGAAGGGGGTGGATCATGCTCTGGTGAGCCTACACAACATGAAGGAGGCCTTGCCAGAGCTTTGGAAAGAGGGGGAGAGATCTGGAAATGTTCGATATGCTGAAAAGATTGCAATCGAGACTCCTGTGATTGCTTGAATGTACTATTATGGGATATGTTGTTTCTATGTGTGGGGAAATAAGATGTTCATTATGTTTTCATGATGAAAGGCTATTTTACGTGTGCATCTTTCATTGAAGTTGTTGGGTTATATGGAGATAAAATTTCCTCCAAATGTAGAATTTTGTTGATATAGCATGTAATATTCTCATTATTATGAAAAATCTTAGATTAAGGTTTAATTTGGATTGCTAATGGGGAAGTTAGAATTTAATATATATAGCCTCTTCAAAACTCTCTCTAAAGTGAGGATTTTCAATTTTATGCTTAAAATGAGTGAAAATAAAATCCTCACTTTCCAAAACAAGATTTCCACATAGAAGCAAACCAAAGAGCCCTTACTATGAAATCAATAATTGGTGTCCTACACTCCTGCTTAAATCTCATATGTGAAAATCTTTAAACACAAACCATGAACTATTAGAACTAATTAGCTATATTTAAGGGTCATTAAAATATTTTATAAACTTAAATTATAATTTGTCATAAAAAATATTTTATGTTATATTCAATTTTCATCAAACCAAACAACTCTTCTTCCGTGACATCAATCAGATATTTCTCTTAAGAGTTTCTTATACGAAAAATTCTATATATTAAATATAGATGCTCCCTTTAAAGACAAAATTATCAAGATAAAATACTAAGCATAAACCTTAAAGTAATGCCACACTTCTTAGCAAATTCTACACAAAAACTAACTGATCCTACTTTAATAATGAGCACAACAAATTTTGGATTGTGATCGTCCGCACAAGTTTCCATAGTATGCATTTGTACAAGGGATAAACATTATTCAGAAAATTATAATTTTTATCCTTGAAATTTTTATAAATGAACATTGGTAAAATTATGTAATTTTAATCCCAATAAATAGAGAAAATCTAAGAATTACATAACTTAATGTGCTTTCAAGTGGCTAAAATGTGAAGCTCAAACAATATTCCATCTAGTAAGTTTAAAAAATTTTAACTTTAAGGGTTTGTTCAAAACTAGTACTACAGTTGTTCGTAAAATTAGCTGGGTAATCATTGTGGGATAATTAAATAGAGTTTCTAAAAATTATTGTAGATATAATTTTTTTCCTTAAGAAAACCAACAGTCATAATTTTTCGAATATGTCCTTACCTTTTAAAGACAGAGTAATTTTTTTATAGCTGTCACATTAACACGTCTGGTTAATTGTGAAAAGCATTGAAAACAACACTTACGAAGCTGATGCATGGAGCACCCCTAACCTATAAAATCGAGCGAAAGATAGAAATACAATTTATAGAGCATTTAAATTAAATCAAACGATAAGAGGTCCAACTTCATCAAAGCCATAATAACATTCTAGCCATTCAATGGAGAAGGTAGGATAAAAAATCATGATAGTTAGAAAGAGATTTCTCAGTAGCAAGTTTGTCACAAAATTTTGCATTTTGGTGCACAATATAAGTTGACTTTATAAATCTAGCTTTCGTGTTCCTGAATAGATCCCAAACCTGATGGAGCAAATATAGTAGAATGCTATTGTTCTCTTCTACATTTAAAGTCATGCTCAATTTCCCCTTCAAAAAATGACTTGCAAATACATTGTACTGAGATTGAAAAGATGAAAATTGCAGATGACTAAAATAAACTATATTAAATAAATAAAGAGCAATAGATCTTCCTTCATGGGGTATGTGGTTATTGATAATTGCTACAAAATCAAAAGAAGTAGAATTTTGTAGAAACCTCTTGTTAATGTTAAATAGATTACCTTTATTGACAAGAAGGCCTTGCCTCTACCTTGCTTAGCCTACAATACCTCATCTTGACCATCTTGAGAGATGAACCCCTCATCCCTATATTGGTATCCCATGATGATCTTGTTTCCCATTATCATTCTATCACCTTTCAATCTCAATAATGCTTGGCCTTGTACCGATCTCTCGATTCTTAATTTTTTAGAGGACTTCTCATTCTAGTGTTAATTGCCTCATATCGATAATTTTGAAAAGTTGTAAGTTAAGTAGCTATTAGTTATTCTTGCACCATACAAATTCTAAGTGCTCCATGATGTTACATTATGAGTTTATGGGGGAATGTAAGAGTTATTAAAGTTATTATATTTAAAGATGTTATCATATCAATATTATCACATATATTTAATATCTATTGTATGAATCTATAGTACTATTTATTATTATAAAATTGTAATGTGTTCCATTGACTAATTTATCTGGCTATACATACCTAATAAAATAAATAAATAAATAGGAGGATATATATTTTTGTGTACTATAGGTTCATACACAATTTTAACTAAAAAATATTAAATCAAATATAATAAATATTATAGTTATTTGCTTGATAATAATACTGATCTGTGCTCCTTTAAATAATAATAATAATAATAAACAAAACTAGTATAGTAGTATAAAACTGAATAGAGCGAAGTAAAAATCGTCTTCTTGTCCACAGCCACAGGTGTGAGCCCTAGTCCGCCTCTGCTGCCGCTATCTTCCGGTCAGTCAGCAATCGAGGCCATACCCTTTAAGCAAAAAAATGGCGAAGCGCGAACTCTCGAACACCCTAAAAAACTTAAAGGCAAGTCTTTTTAGTCATTCTCTTTTTCTCTCTCACCAACCGTCGTTTCTTCCTTTATCCAGGCTTGTGGTAACCTGTGAGAGTTCTCGTTTTGTTCCAGTTTATGCAAAGGGCTGCTCCTAGGGAGGAAAAGATCAATGAACAAAAGGAGAATCCGGAGCCAATTCGAAACGTTTTTGACACGGCCAACGCTGCCTCCCCCGCCCGAAGAAGATGGTAGGATTATTATGGTAATGTTTTCTCGTTAGGGTTTCCTCTGTTGCTAGTAATCGAAACGAGATACTTGGTTGCGCGTGGTAGATGGGGTTTTGTGGGAAAAGATTATTGTATTATGCATCCAAAATTTGTCTTTTTTACATAATTTTTTGTTCTCTTGATGTTGCTTGCCGTGGCATGCTAAGGTTTTGTAATTCTGTGGATACATTAGCACGAGTTGAGCGAAGGGTTGCTTTTTGATTGTTGTGTAATTCCTTTGGCCAATTATTGGGCACACTATGAAACAAGGTTCATGCTAAAAAATTGAGGATTTTTCTTGAAATCGTAAATCTTAAATATTTCATTTAGTAGCAGAAACATTTGGATAGCCATATTGTAACCATCTAAATTCTAATTATAACTTTTCTTTGTAAATATTTTCAACTTGATTTAAGGAATTACATGAACTTGATATGGCTGGCAAACTGTTTATACTGTTTTCCTGTGTTATGCTGATTTGTTTCTATTATACTTTTGACTGTTGGACTAAGGGATCTGTCTGCACAGTGATCACACATTGTTGTTCCTGAGCAAAAAAGCATTTTTGTTTTATATTTGATTACAACTAATGATTCGATTGCTGATTGCAGCTCATGGGATATTTTTTTTTATGGTTACATCTGATTCAAGTTCATTCTCAATATTAGCTACTGCATTGCATTCACTTCATGTTTGTTTACTCTCTTATTCTGATTAGTTTTATTACATTATCTTGCGTCATTCTAATAAATTTTGCAGTTCTCATATATTTCATTCCCCTTCGTGCTATGCTTCCTTGATTCATGGCAGGTCTTTTGTGGTGAATGTGCCTATATCTTCTAAGCACCTAGTTTTCACAAACCATTTATTTCTTTTGTCATTCATAGCCAATAATTTACAAATTCTACATCCCTATACCAGTAAAACTTAATTCTGAACTATAGACTGAACAGCTTATGCAGTGACATCACTTCACCTACCCATACTAATTAGATTTTCTCTTCATAAATATTATTTTGTAAAATCATTGCATCAAACCATCTTTAACTATGAATCCAATTTAATATATGCTTGATTTTCTTCTGATGAGGCCTGCAAAAAAAAGGTATGTTTTTTTAAGGTTCAGTAATGGATCCATAATTTTGTCTTTTTTTTTTATTCCATTGGTCATTGGTTTGCTTACAATAGATATAAAAAAAGGTACGTTTAATGCTTTCTTGTATGAAATATTACTGTTAGCTGAGATTATTTTTTAATGAAGTTATTCGATATAATAGTAGGGAAATTTTTAGAAGATAAGAGACTCATTGTTAGTGGAATTGAGGTTGACTATATAATATGTAATTTTAGTGGTTATGATTTTATTGATTTTCAATAATGATGAATGATTTGGTGTTACCTAAGTGTCTCATCTTTGTATATCTTGTATGATTGTATCTATTATGCAAATGAATGATGATTTAAATGGCTATATGGTTTGTAGAGTCAAAGTTGAGCGGTTGAAATGAAAGCCTTTGTGGTATTTTGTGATAATGGATATCATATTTAACAAAAATAAGATTGACAACAAAGTTATATTAATAATTAGTGTAGTAAAACTAAGAAATTAGGCTGGATGCATGTATAAATTGGAGGGATGCAACATCATATAGGATTATATTAGTGAGCTAGAGAATTCTTTGATGGGAGGGCACATGTAAACCTTTATAAAATAGTATTTAGGTTTTAGCTATGATGCACTGACACGGACACGGTGACACGGACACGAAACGAAACAGATACGGAACACGTCATTTTTTTAAAATATAGGACACAGGTGCGGCATGGATACGACATAATAATTTTTTTAATATAATATATAGAAAATTAGAAATTAAGGTGATATCATATTATAAATGACAAGAGATAATACATCAATGTCTAGATAACTTGTTTAGCTTATAACATAAAAATGTTTAGTATGTCTTGTACAACTATAAAAATATAAGCAAAAAATCATTTTCTACAACATGAAGGTTTAACTACTCAATAGAGGGAATGATAGCATTAGATTCAGAGGTTGGTCTTTAACCTTCAATATTATCATCATTGAATATCATTGTTTTCAACTCTGGTTCATCAAGAGAAAAATTTGCAACATCCAATAATCTCATATCTTCAATGCACTCATACTCATCTCAAGCAACATTCCACATCTTGTTATCATCTGTCATTTAAAGTTGGATTTTCCTTGATAGAAGTGAAGATTTGTATGCGCATAAACTAAATCTTCAGCTTGTTGTGGAGTTATTTTATTCCTCTTCATCGATTGAATAAATGAGTATGCGCTCTAATTTCTCACACAACAAGAAGAGGATGATACTTAACCAAGATGTTTTATTGTTATTTTTTGAAGAAGCGGTGCTAAAGCTCCATGAATCAACCACCACATTTTTGGATCCATCCTTCATCTATCAACCAAAGATTATTGATCACCAAAATCTTCTAAATATCCAAAGAATTTTGTAAGTTCTATATTAATCTTTCTTCTCTCCACATTTGAGAAATATCGTTTCTAGTATATCTTTCTCATATTTTAAATCTAAATCCTTTTGTGGTAAGACACGTTGAGGGTCTTCTTGAAGTCATTCTTTACTTGAATACCTTCAAATAATACAAAGCATATAAAATTATTTATTCATATACCAAGAAATTTAAAATTAGTTTAAAAGATGAATACAAATATATCTTGGATTTAATGAATAAGACAAATAATGCAAAGGTGTGTTTCTTTTGCTCCACCTATCCTCAAGAATGGTATAGACAACGCTCCAAAAACTTGAGTCTTCATCATGTGACTTTCTTTCATGTCTGTATACAATTTTTTTCACTTTTGCTAACATAGAGTCCCACATTATAAATCAAATGTAGGCATGATTTATCTGTGTCAGCCTCTCTCAACAACATAAATTGAATCAGTGAAAGCTAAAATGTAATCCATATCATCCCACCACAAATCATCTAAGTTCTTTTCTTTCACATACATTGCCTTCATAATGTCATCTTCTCGATAGTAAAACCACTTCTCACTAATCACCATAGATTGAAGAACATTTTTTATTTGTTTGAATCTTCTTAACATGATTATTACATAGGCAAAATGAGTTTTAACAACAGCTAACATTCTCAAATATGAGAAATCATTAAACATTGAAAGACTCATTGAATGGTTCATGATGAAATTTCTGATCAGAATAACATCATTTGCAACCACTGTTATCCAATGATATTCATCATAGATGATTTCATTAGCTTCTGTATTCTTCGCTGCACAAATATTTTTTTATAACAAGATTTATAGTGTGCACAACACATGGAGTCAAGAATATATGAGGATGAGCTTGCTCCACCAATAATCTTGTAGCTCTACACATCGGTGCATTATCTGTAATAACCTGCACAACATTTGAAGGCCCAATCATGGCTATCACCTCTTTAATTAAAATTGCAATGAAATATTTATCCTTATATTCTCCTTCACAATTCACAGCTTTAATGAACATTAGGTAATTCTCTGTAACGGTCATGAAATTAATGAGTGATCTTCTTTGAGGATCAGTCCAACCATCACACATCAAACTGACGCATTTTTCTTTCCACACTCCTTCGTTGGTTCAAGCAATGTCTAAATATGTGCTCTTTTCCTTTTCAATAATTTTGATCTTATTGCATTGTAGATAGGTAGAACATAACCTGTCAGGTTGTTATTACATGCAAAAGTGAATGCATTTTTATAATAAGCATTTCTTGCAAGGTTGAAAGGAAGTCCTGCTGAAAAAACATCATTGCAATTTCGCCATCTAATTCCTCTCGCTGTTGCATGTTAAAAGCCTTATCTAAAGAAATACTGGCAATTTCGTTTCTTTTCTTTGATTCATATCCTTCACTTCTAAATGATAATGAATGATCAACTCTAACAGATGAGGAAGAAGTGTGGGATGAACCATGTGTAGATGGCAAAGGTATTACCTTAGGAAGCGCCCTTTTGATCCTAGATTCATCAACTTGTCAGTGCATTTCAATCAACTGGGCCGTAGTAATCTTAGGACACATTCTAATTCCATTTCTCCAGCAATCTTAAGTAGATGTTCTTTCACCCTAGAATATGATCCTTTGTAAGTGCCACCACAATAATTGCGTTGAATGACACATTCCCTCCTTCAAAATTTTTTGCCTAATTTGATAACATGAATCCATAATGGCTTATCAGTTTCTACAGATGGCTTTTTTGAACCTTCGCCTAATCTACTCCCACCAGCACTATATCTCATTTTGCTTTTAAATGCACTGGTTGAATGGAAGAAATAAAAGCTTAATAAAATCAGGATCAATTGTACTCTTAACTTTTGTAAAGAACAACTGAACAACTTAGAAAATGATAGAAAATATAGGCAACATGCATTGTAGTGAAACTATTCCATTTGTAACTTAAAACTTTTAAATGTCAACATGCATTGTAGTGAAATAATTACATTTGTAGAGGCTTGGATTTTGATTTCTTTTCTCTTCACAATAGGAGAAAGAAAATATAAGCAATTGTTATAAACTAAGACAGCTTAAAGCAACCATCTACTCTCTTCAATAACCTATTATGATAGCAGTTTTTAGATAGCTTCTTTGATCGTATTCTACTGCTAGGCGAAACATTTCAATCTTCACAGTTCATGCCTAATGAATCCAAAGTCTTCAATCACAATAGAAAAAGATAATACCAATGTACGGAAATGGGGAAATTACCAGTTTTACAACAATCTAAACACAATCCATTTAAAAAAATTCCTAACAGCAATAGAAAAAACAACACCATCAGTACTCCATTTCAAGCATTGCAAAGAAGTCTAGGGCATAACTATACATCGCCACGAAGAGGTTCTAGTGTTCTACTCATCATATCAGTTCGAAATAAAATCTAGGGCAACAAATGAGTCTCCAACAAACGCCAT